CAATATGGTTCATGGGGTCACAAAGAGTCGGACACGACTTAACGACTAAACAACAACAAAGAGATTTCACTGCATTAGGGTGTTAATTAAACTCAGGCAGCACAAACAACATGTTACCAAGCCAATATAAGGATTCACTAAAAATATGAATAAATTAATCTTGCTCACATAAAAGCAGCAATTGGGATTTAAGATTTATTGCTGAGTTAGACCAATATTTCACCTATTCCAATACTCATATCTTCATAATAGACAGAATGATACCTGAGAGGATACTATGAAAATATTTTATTAGTTTTAGAAAGGTATATGCCACCATTCAAAAGGTTTCTAAAAGAAACTTTGGAATTACAATAGTTTAAAACTATAATTAATTCTTTTAAAGTAAAAACAATTGTTAAATCCATATAGCATTACAAACTACTGAAGTACAGATAAAGAAAATTAGATAAAAAGGACTATCACAAAATAAAAATTAATACAACACATTAAAAAAAAAGTTTGGATGAGCAAAAAATCCCTTCACCTGGTGCATGAATGGTAACTCAGGACCATTCATTATTTGCCAACTAACTATGGAAGAAATATGTCCCTGACAACCTCTTTCTTTTCTACCATGTTTTTATGACACTGCTTTCATCTTATCCCCAACGCATACCTGAAGTAACTTAAAGTAATCCTTAGTTGTTTTTGTGTTAAAATAGTATTTTCCCCACAAGAAGCCATGGCAATTTTGTTGTGTGTATTACCTATACACTTTATCGGCCTTTTGGTCAATTTTTCTCTGCAGTGACAACCCTGTGAGGTAAGTTGGGCTGAAAGAGTTACTGGCCGAAAGTCACTCAGTGAGTTTCTGTGGCTGAGGATGGATTAGAACTTGGTCTCCCTGCTCCTAATCCAAGATCTTAACCATTAGGTCATACTGTGTCTCAGTTTTGCCTGGGTGTATTCCAAGAAGTCCAGCTGATAAACTTTTGGAAGTGTTTAGCAGTATTCTGGAATATGCTATGCCAGAATAGTACTGAACCACTATCTGAAAGAAGTCTGATGATAGCTGATACGAACTGATCATTGGGCTGTCTTTGAATATTCCTGTGCAAAACGTGTGCCAAAACAGAACCAATAATCAAGGTCATTTTAGACAGAGGTTTATTGTTGTTCCAGAAGACCTCTAAACCTGCATTCATAAAGCAAGCCTGAACAACAGCTGAGAATTGCACTGTCAAGCAGCAGGGAGAAAGCGCTTTACCATACTCTCCTCCATCATCACCGTTCGTCAGCCTCACATTTGTTTGCTTGTTTGATTTATAGGGGCCTCATGGGATTGACATACAAAGGCTGCAAAGGGGCAATCCAATCCAGAGCCTGTCACATGGCTATTCCAAACAGCAATAAGGGATTTAGATAAACTTCCTATCAGATCCTCAGAACAAACTTCAAGCCGCAGGGTTCGGTACTCTCTCCACTCCTATCTAACATCTACATGAAGCCACTAGGTGAGATCATCCATTGCCATGGGGTGAGGTGTCATCAGTATGATACTCAGTATGATACTCAGTTACATTACTCAGTTATATATCTCCACCTTGGTGAACTAAGCAATGCAATTGATGTCTTATCCTGGTGCCTGGAGACCATAGGGGTTTGGATGGGGAACAACAGGCTTCAGCAAGACTGGCAAGACTGAGTGGCTCTGGAGTTTTTGGGCCTTCTGGTTCTGGGACTTTACCACTTTTGGTACTAGATGGGGTGGCACTAGCCCAGACTGACCCATTATGCAATCTGGGGGTCCTTCTAGACTCATGACTCCTCCTAAAGGAGCAGGTAGCAGTTGTGACTAGGAGGGCCTTTGCACAGCTTCGTGCTGTGCGCCAGTTGCACCTCTTCCTGGATCATGAGGCTCTACTCACAGTCACTCACACTCTGGTCACCTCCAGAATGGATTATTGTAACACATTCTATATGGGGCTGCCCTCGAAGAGCATCCAGAAGCTTCGGCTGGTGCAGAATACGGCTGCATGGACAGTTATGTGTGCCCCTAGGTGGGCGCACGTTACACCTCTGTTCTGCCAACTTGCTTCCTTGCTGCCAGTTTGCTTCCAGGTGCAATTCAAGGTGCTGGTTTTGTCCTTTAAAACCCTACATGGTGTGGGACCAGGTTATCTGAGAGACCATCTCTTCCCGATTACAACAGCCAGGTCAGGCAGGAAAGTCTGCTGTGAGTCCCATCTCCAAAGACGCTCCATTTGGTGGAACCCAGGCAGTGCGCATTTTCTGCTGTGGCCCCCAGCCTCTGGAACATAATTCCCCCCAAGGTGAGGTTAGCCCCATCTCTGTTCGCCTTCCAGAAGGCCCTTAAAACATGGTTTTTTCATCAGCCTTGGGGAATCCCATGGGGAGCCTGCAAGGTGGCTGTATGAGGTCAAATGATTATTATTCTCTCACAATCTTGGTTATTTTACATGTTTATTTAAGTTGGACTGTCTTTAGATTGTTATATAGTTTTTAACTGTTGCTATGTTTGTACACTACCCAGAATCATGTCTTTGTGAGATGGGCGACTATATACAGTCATGTGAAAAAGAAAGTACACCCTCTTTGAGTTC